TGCTCCTAAGACAAAAATAGGACATAATGATATTAATAATAAAAACCATTAATTATGATGTAAAAAACTGCAGGTACATATTAGGAGGCAGAAATCAACATTTATATATTTTTATACATATATATAATATATAACATTTTAAATTACATGATATATACATAATATATAACTAGATATGTGTATAGTATATCTACTTAAAATAGTATTACAAGTATAAATATACTAAGACAGAATTGCAAGTCTTCTGAAAAAGCTTTAATTCTAAATTATTATATAATACGCTAACAGAAAAAAATAATCTCAGTTTATATTCATAAAAAGCTTTTAAAGTAATTTTGTGTCCTTCAAATTCTCTTAAGAGTGCTCTGAACTAAGTCTGAATTTCTGCTGGAGTTAAGGTTTGTACTAACCCAGCAATGCTTTGCTCAGTTTTTGAGTTGCTAATTACCCCCAAAATACCTAACGATGCTAACAAAAAAACCTAAAATGTGAATAAATGCTGACAATGCTAATAAAAAGCTGAATCTTCCTCCAACTTTCTTCTGGCTATGGACAAGAATTCAGCCCTCACTTTTCAAAAACTCTGCTAACATAGAATCATACAACCATCAAGGTTGGAGAAGACCTCTAAGATCATCAAGTCCAACCATTAACCTGTCAGTGCTGTAACCCCTAAACCCTAAACCATATCCTCCAGCACCAGATCCAGATACCTCTTAAACACTTCCAGGGATGCTGACTCCACCACCTCCCTGGGCAACCTATTCCAGGGAAAACATTTTTCCTAACATCTACTCTGAATCTCAGATCACATCGTAATTATACAACAAATATACCATAAGAAAACACAACTAAGGCTAGATACGATTCAGTGAAACTCTCCATCATATTTAAAGGGGTTCTTACCTTGGGTTTGGAGTATTTGTTGTTGGATAGGGAGATATTCCACCTGGAATTCCTGGCATATAGGAAGCTAAATAAAAGAAGGATTTTGTATACTTTTACATTTCACAAGTTTAATGCATATCATGACATATTAATACTGCAGCAAGATACCTTTCAAAATTTATTGAACAATGAACAGAGTATAACAACAATGAAACAAGAGTAGAAAAAGTAATTCTGTGGTCAAATCCCCTCAAAACCACAACCTGCACCCTCCAACACCATCACTTTTCACAACATTCCCAGATGTTTCCCCTGCTGCTCTTCTGCAGCTTGGCAAGAGGCAAACATGCAGATGTTTGATGTGAGCTGTCTCTGTGCTGACTGACCAAGACAGCTCCTCCCACTCTAGACACGAAAAGGACTAAACTAAGCACATCTTCCTGCCTTGCATTGACTGGTTAGAATTTCCTTTGTGTAACCGAGCACATTTTCACAAAACAGAGGCAAATTCTGCATTTCTGAAGGTTCTAACCTGCACCTACCAACTGTGGTTAAAACATACAAGTATTTTGTTTGGAGATGGAGCATGAAGCCAATTATGCATTCCTAAGAACTAGCTAGAACATTTCTCACTGCGTATGAGATTTGAGATTCAGATTTCCCTGTTCAGGTGCTCAGGCACTGGAATAGGTTGCCCAGGGAGGTGGTGGAGTCACCATCCCTGGAAGTGTTTAAGAGGCACCTGGATCTGGCACTGGAGGATATGGTTTAGGGTTTTGGGGTTCCAGCAGAGTGACAGGTTAGTGGTTGGACTCGATGATCTTTGAGGTCTCCTTCAACCTGGATGATTCTACAATATAACTCAGAATCACAGAATAGTTAGGGTTGGAAGGGACCTCTGGATATCATCTAGTCCAACCCCCCTACCAAGGCAGAGTCACCTACAGTAGGTGACACAGGAATGTGTCCAGGTGGGTTTTGAATATCTCCAGAGAAGGAGACTCCATGACCTCCCTGTGCAGCCTGTTCCAGTGCTCTGCCATCCTCAATGTAAAGAAGTTTTTTCTCATATATAAATATAACCTCATTGTTATCTTGACTTTTTTCCCAATCATTACTTTAAACCAACCATTGCATGAATAAAAAAGGTATTGATTTCAAAAGGCACAACAAGTAGGTGTACCAAGTAAAATGGGAATACATAAGAAAAACAATCTCCAGCTAGGGAAATCCTAAAAGAACAGGCATGGTATTAAAGATGACACACCTGAGAAGCTGTCTCCATTTTTTTACATAACAGCTGAAAAAAGAAAATAACCTTTCTAATGTAGACAATGCTTTTTACTCACTAAGTAACGAGCGCATGATTTAAGTACCTTCAGAGCAGCTGGACTTCACAACAGCTGATGAACTACTTAACAATCCAACCATGTTCTTATCCAGTAATTTCTGCTATTTAGAAGTTATACTTTAAAATCTTTTTATCAGCACATGTAAGTGTCTGAGGCTTTAACAGCCTTAGCAATTTTAAATTTCTTCTTGAAAATCTGACAAAAATGATGGTTTGGATATCCTTATTCTGCATTTCTACCAGTTTTAAGAACATTACATCAAATAGCTGTTCTTTTACAGCCAGGCTATTTTCACTCCTGAATGCTTTCTCATGATTAACATTTCTGTAAAAGGGCTTCACTTCTTCTGAAACATGTATCTAGAGCTTAAAAAATCCCAAACCTAAATGTCTGTATGATAAGGAAAGACTGATTGCACTAATAGTGTAAAGTAGTTATTAACAATGTCAAAATTCTGAATTTTTTCCACTAAAATTACTTCAGCTATGGTGCAGCACTGAGTGACTACAGAAGTAATCAAGTGTGTTTCAATTGACTGTCTGTCCTTACAGCACAAGTCACAGCCTCTACTAATCCTGCACTTCTACTGACACCCACTGTTCCTGGAAAATCAGAACACTACAATCATCTAGTGCTCTTACAGGCAGGCAAGTGCTGGACAAGATAAAAAGCCCCACACACCTGCCTTAGCCAGCTATTCCTGTTGGTCCCATTTATGTTCACTACCCCTTTTCTCACAGGTTAAGAAACTAAGGCTTTGTTAAAAATGGTTTCTGCTGGAAACAGTAATGAATAGTACATGGTACTTCAGCTTTTCACATATAACACTATGAGCTGGTACCACAGACTCACAGAATAATCAGAGTTGGAAGGACCCTTGAGGACCATCTAGCCCAACTCTTGGCCCCGCACAGCCCCGAGAATCACACCATGTGCCTGAGAGCATTGTCCAAACACCTCTGGAGCTCTGTCAGGGCTGGGGCTGTGACCAGTGCCCTGGGGAGCTGTTCCAGTGCCCAAACACCCTCTGGGGGAAGAATCACTTTCTAATATCAGCCTAAAAAGCTGTATTTTGACAGAAAAGTGTCATAGCCTTAAAATACAGCAAAAATAAATAACCCCAAATACTGCTACTCTAGCATTAATGTAGAACTGTTATAATTAAACAACCTCCAGTTAATCTGCTCCCCTTCCTCTCCCGCACCAGTCTTTGGCTTGAGTAGGTCTGCTTTACTGGGTTTTTTGGATTTTTCCACCCAATGCAGTCTCCTCTTATAAGAATTCCTGTTTCCCACCTCCCATTTTCCCCCCATCCACCTATCCCAGTTCTTAAAATAAGATGGCTCCAGAAGTTTAAACAAATAAAAGATCTAAAAAGGCTTGAAAATTGTTTGCAAGAAAATAAGAATTGGTACCAAGTCAGAGCACCACATCAACAGAGAAGAAGAAAAAAATCACAAGGCAGGTTCCTTTCCTTACTCAGTCAACAAGTTTTAGAAAATAAAAATTGCCCCCCCAGAAGTGAGCATGGGCGGGCATAGGAATCATAGAATGGAATCACAGAATCATCAAGTTTGGAGGAGATGTCTAAGATCATCGAGTCCAACCATTAACCTGTCACTGCTGTAACCCCTAAACCCTGAACCATATCCTCCAGTGCCAGATCCAGACACCTCTTAAACACTTCCAGAGATGGTGACAATGGCATGGTGACAATGGATGATAGACAACACAATAGTGTGCCTTTGCTTATGAAATCAATGGTTGCAGGACACTTAATGGGGGGACCTGTACTAGCAGAGCAAGGAAAAATTAAGATACAAAGACAGTTATCTGAATAATCTCTTTTTAAGGCTATCTCTGAATGCTGACTGTTGTTTTGAGGAGCTTGGGGGCTGTTCATGTGTGCATTCTGGTTTAGTTTTGTTTTAATGCAAACTCTATTTTTCCATTCCAAAAGTTAAAACACCCACACACATTCTCAGACTTGTTGAATCATTGAAGCTGGAAAATACCTTTAAGATCATCGAGTCCAACAAGGCCAAGTACAGCACAGGTGAATTCATTAGCCAACAATACAGAAAGTAATTCTACACTAAAATACATTATTGACAAATTATGCAAAGCCACAATCACTTTAGAATGTTAAGATGATTATTTGTAGAAATCAGTAGCCACAAGCACTTACTAGTTGGTGGGCCTGTTGCCTGGTATGGTGGGTAGCTCGATGAAGCAGTGGGCCGAGAAAAGACTGGAGGTTCTTCTCCAAACACAACAATCATGACCTGAATCAGCTCCAGCAAGTCTGACTGAGGCTGTGAGGGAAAGCAAAGGGCAGGTTGTTGATTTTACTAACAGTTAGTAAAATCCTCTAACAAGAGGAGAGCATTCCATCAGCTCCCAAAAGCACTCCTTTTTTGGGGGGTTTAATTTCTTCAAATATATATATATGTATTGAACTTCCTTTCTGGATTCCTTAACAGGTATCACACCCACCCAGCTGGCACTCAGATCATTATAGCAAAACACAGCAGCAGCCACATTTACACCCAGAATAAACTAGGTAATACACAGTTCCATATCAAATGCAGGACAACAAATGACTGAAGATGACTGCCCAGTGATGGATTAATACTATTTAAAAACATTAATTTCACTCTCCAACATGAGAAAAGCACAGGTCATTAAGTTTTCAGACATTTCAGTTCCACACACCATAGCTTTTGCTCAGGTTCAGTACATCTCAATGTAAAAAATACTCTAACCCACTAAGGAGTGGTACAAACCTCCTCCAAACATAGCTAAACTAGGCTTCTCCCTTTTTAACTGCACTTAATATAGGCATGATTTCATTTTGCCAAAATAAGGACAAGCATCATGAATGCAGCACCGGATTAAATATCCCATTTTGAAATTTTCTTAACTCTGTACTCCACTTATTTTTACCAGCCCCTCAAACTGAAAGAATTCTATATCACTTGTGATGATCTTCTTGGATGTGCAAGTACTGCATCTGATCTGGGCAGTAATTTCCCACTATTACCATGCAAGTGCTGAACTACCACCCATCCTTATAAATTTATTCCTGTTAATCACTTTTTACAAAACTATGCAGCTTGTACCACTCTTCTAACCTCGTCAGCACAGTTTATCTTCTTTCCAAGTCCATGTTTTGGTTGTACTTGTATGAGGCCTGCACTGCCCAATGCCTCTATTTATTGGTAAAGCAAATATATCCAGACAGTTGAGGTCCCAGGAATGTCTACATAAAGAAGTATGAATGCTTGTACAAGTCCATTTTAGTCACAGAGATTAAATTCAGCACAGAGATATTCTAACAGAATTTATAATTTCCCTTCTGTAAATATTCTTATCTCATAGATCTTCACCCCAGTGTCCTACCAGGGCAGGATGCCTTGTGCTGCAATGTTTGATCAGACAAACTGGAACTAAAGATGCAATTACATTATGTTAACCAGGACATAGCATGCAACATCCTGAACTGTAAGACATAACAAATAATAAACAGCTGCTTTCATTCAAAAAATGGTTTAAAACCTCAAATAAAGAGGATTATGGTTTTTGTTTAAAATGATACAACTGGCTCAAGCAATGCAGAACTAGGTAATTTAAGAATTTCAAGTTCCCTATACTTACATATTTCCACTCATGCAGATAAGGAAGGTATATCTTTCCGTTTGCATCGACGTGCTTCCCAGTTTTTATTGTCATAGAGCTAGTGGGTTTAACAAAACAAATTGGGGGGTTGAAAGGGTAGGTGTCCAGCAGCCACAAGCAAATTGGGATATTGTATGTGTTACCTAGAAAAGATATTTTTGAAAGATTTTAGAATTTATTCCAACTCTTCAACTGTCCTCTTGTATCCAGATTCATAAAACACTCCTCAACCCAGTAAACTCAACTGCACAAAGTTAGAAGCTGACACCACTAACAACATTTCTACTAACAACATTTAATGATGAGCAAATACTATGGCCACAAACATTTTTCAGAACAATTTATCTCTGATTTACAATTATTACAGAATCACAGAACAATCGGAGTTGGAAGGACCCTTGAGGATCATCTAGTCCAACTCCTGGCCCTGCACAGGACATCTCTGAGGATCACACCCTGTGCCTGAGAGTGTTGTCCAAACACCTCCTGAGCTCTGTCAGGCTTGGGGCTGTGACAACTTCCCTGGGGAGCTGTTTAAGTGCCCAAACACTCTCTGGGGGAAGAACCATTTTCTAATACCCACCTAAACCTCCCCTGACACAACTTCAGACCATTCCCTCAGGTCCTGTCACTGGTTGCCAGGGAGAAGAGGTCAGTGCTGCCCCTCCACTTCCTTCTGTGAGGAAGTTGTATACAGTGATGAGGTCTGTGTTATTATCTATCATTATCTATCTATCTATCTGTAATTATATTATAATCTACCACTAATACATTATCTCATTTGCTCTACAATGCAACATTATGCAACATTACTAGACCCTAATCTGAGTTATCATTAGCTGCAGCAATAAATTGTTTGCAACCCTCACTCAACTGACAAGCTTGACAAATGTGCAGCACAGAAAGAAAAGAGATGTTACTGTATGAGACTGAACAACCCATGGTCAACATTCAAATCTTATCCTGCAGCAAAAATAGGGAACAGTTTCTTTAACACATTATACTTTGGACTAGTAAAAGATTTAAAGAAAACAGTGATCACTGAAGTGGTGAAATTGAACCAGGACAAATCTAAATCATTTTTTGTGCAATTTGGGAAAATAATGAGGGTGAGGATAAGAGCAATAAATGCTTACCTCTGTAAGGCACAGGAATGGTTCCACTGAGGCTCATCAACTCCCGAGATGAACCATCGTTAAAAACTGAAAGGGAACAATCAGTATTTTTAAAACAAGCATATTCACTACATTAATCTCTATCCATATTATACCCCTTCTGTTTACTGACAGAAGTTTTACACATATAAATATAAACTCAGCTTGAAAGGTTCTGCTCTTGCACCTTTATGGACTAGCAAGTATTTGTCTGCAGACAAGTAACTTCTTATGACCGAAACATTTCTGAGAAATGAATCACTAATTATGGCCAAACTACCTTTACTGCAAATAAAACTGTTTCCTCATTCAGAGACCACATAAAGCATGCTGGAACCTTACAAACTGCAAATCATGCACACCGAACTCAATTTAAAAAAACAACTGTCACCTGAGGATGAAATAAAGAATTTCTTATGCTTTCTCTAAACACACAGATCAGCAAGAATACTGCAAATTACTGGGCCTCAGGCATTTTTTACATAATCAGTAAAGGTAATTTAACCAACAATAACACACTGAAGAAGAAGAAATGTATAGCACTTGACTCACTGCCAAATCTTAGTTCACAAACTGCACAAGAACCCTGACCTAAATTTACTGACTTGTATTTAGTCTTCTCATAATCCAATACCTTATTCTTGGCTGAATAAATCAACTTCTGTTGCAAAAGCTTTTATCTTCCTAATTCCACCTGAGAGTTTCCAGCCATACTTCAAATGTAGCTTACTGTCAAATAATGGTGTTGCTAATGTTCTGCAAAGGTAGGCAGAACATGCTGGAACTTCAGGAACAACAGATTTCATTATTACTATAAACTTGAAAACTATCTCAACAGCAGTGTAATCATTGTCTTGTTGCTGCTGTCACTGCTGCAAATGATATTGATTATCTGTAAGTCATTCTGTGCTCATCCTCTCCCAGGCAGCTCAGAAGGCATTAGGCAACACAAATGGCTTCAGTCCCAAGCTATCTTGAATTCTGATCACCATCCTTATGCAAACTCGTGCAGCTATTCCAGCCACAGTCCTTTCACTCTTGTTTTTGTTTCTCCAGGCATGACATGAATTTTTATTTCTGTGACAGCTGCTGCCTTACAACCATTCCAGTTAAAGCTAATTTCTCTTTTACCTGTCCTTGTCCCTTCTTGATACTTCTCAATCCAGATGTACAATTTAAAAAGCAAGTCTCTGAAGATGGGTTAGTAACATAAATTAGCTCTCAGAGGAATCCCACAGGTGACAGTTACAAAAAGGTGATCATAGGAAGGTTGACCTCAGGAGCTCTGCTGGCTCACTGTATGCTGTGAAACCATGTCCTCAGCAGCTAACCCTAGATACCACCTTCATTTAATACACTGAAATTTAGATTTACTTGAAGCTTTGAAGATAGCTAACAAATAGTGAATGTCATTGATAATTTACATCACAAAACCCTCATGCCAATTTTCTACACACTTGTCTGTTTTCGGCATACTCTTAAGGACTGACACAACTATTTTTAATGGAGCATTTGTTCATTGATTTACAGTTCCTTCTAAATAGAATGCTAAAAATACCTTTTATGACAGCAAAGCTGAATTTGTAAGATACCAGCAATCTCAGGACACCAACTAATATAACATTGCTGAGCCATTAAAAGCTCAGCTGTGAAAAATGCAACACTTCTTGGCACATTATAGATAAGACTCAGTAATATGGAAAGTTATTTTCTAAAATAACCTGTGTTTCTAAAGAAGTATCGATGTCAAAGCTCAAGAAGAAAAACTCAAATTATGTTTTCTGGTTTTAATCTCCTTTCCTCCCCCCCAAAAAAATGCCAAATATATATACAGACCATCAACAATTCAACAGCAAAAATTTTCTCATGCACAGACTAACCATATGAATCCATGACAGGTTTGAGGTCCTTGTATTGAGTTATTACACTGGTGGTCTCCTGTATAGTTAGGTCTCTATACTTATACTGGAAAACAAAAGAGAAAGAAATTACTTCAGAGACTACATTTTCACTGTAAATTAATTTTATTTTATTTTACCCAAGAGACAGCATTTATGAGAGTTTACATTGATATATGGACATTCTTCTCCACTCTTAGTTTGGAATAACAATTTATTTGCATATGTTACTTAGCTGGACATTGCCTATATAACTCATTGAACTTTAACAAGGTGTCTCTCCTGCCATGGCTGCAGGGAGAGGACTAGAGGGAATGGCCATGAGCAGAGGCAGGGGAGATTCAGAGTAGATGTTAGGAAAAATGTTTTCCTGTTAGGGTGATTAGACACTGGAATAGGTTGCCCAGGGAGGTCGTGGAGTCACCATCCCTGGAATTGTTTAAGAGGCATCTGGATCTGGTGCTGGAGGATCTGGTTTAGGGTTTGGGGGCTCCAGCAGTGAGAGGTTAATAGTTGGACTCGACGATCTTAGAGGTCTCCTCCAACCTTGATGATTCTATGATTAAGATGCTTTTAATCACAGAATCATAGAATTAACCAGGTTGGAAGAGACCTCAGAGATCATCAAGTCCAACTCTACCGTCATTACTAGACCATGGCACTAAGTGCCACATCCAGTCTCATCCTGAAAACCTCCAGGGATGGTGAATAGTATTTTCATGTATTTTATCACCTGGAAAGCAGATGTATCAAGGTACAATATTAGTAGTAATAATACTGCCTTAACCCCCTTCCTTTCCTCAGGAGCAGAGAGTAACTCACAGCACAGATGACCTGTAAACCACAGATACACTACTACAGAATTTAACAGTCTCAGAACTACAACCCACAGGCAACAAAGGAGATGCAGCCAGGGATCAGAGAGTTCAAGCAGATGTATCAAGGTACAATATTAGTAGTAATAATACTGCCTTAACCCCCTTCCTTTCCTCAGGAGCAGAGAGTAACTCACAGCACAGATGACCTGTAAACCACAGATACACTACTACAGAATTTAACAGTCTCAGAACTACAACCCACAGGCAACAAAGGAGATGCAGCCAAAGAGAGGAGAGTTCATAGAATCTTAGAATCATCAAGGTTGGAAGAGACCTCTAAGATCATTTTGTCCAACCATTAACCTGTAAATTCATTGTAATTTCAAAAGATTGCAATCTCCAGATGTCTTAAGGAACACCGACAGCATCCCTTCACTGAACCATGGCAGGAAGACAAAGGGCTCAGCACAATGAAATATCCAATATCCAAGGCACATAAATGTTAACAATGTCTGAACAAATTAATTCAGACATTATCCAAGAGCAAACTGTGGTGTCACATCTAAAGGTCACCTCGGCTCCAACAAACACATAATGAGTTGTGAAGCTTAGAAACCAACTACTCTTTCTGTTATCTACACAGATTGACAAAGATGCTACTCCTGGGCAAGACAACTCCTATTCCTGCGCAGAGATGAACTCACCACGCAGCTTCCTGTCATGCCACCTCAGTCTATAGAAAGCACCAACACCTTGGACAATGCTGTGACTTGGCTTCCTAAAATGACCAAGGGCAAAACAGCCATACAGTCAGTCTGCAAAACGTGGGCCTGTGGGAGAGAAAGCAACCTCTCCAGCAGGGATGCCTGTGTGTGCAGGGAGGCACCAGCACGGAGGGCAATCAGCCCCAGATGCTGTTCTGGTGGGAAGGCTGCCGCAAAGCACCTCAGCCTCCTCGTGGGTGCAGGATTGGGACTTGACGGAGCAGAGACAACTTTGGCAGTATTTGAGTGAATTCCTCCTTCCTTCCCCAGCGCCTAGTGGAAGTGAGAACAGGCACTGCTGGAACATGGAGACAGAGGTCTGTGAAGTACCATGTGTGCCAGCCACAGACTGGCAGCACACACCCACATCCCTGAATGTGGCACCAATGTGCTACCAATGAGAGCTTGTCACCAGCTACTTTGAAAGGAGGGGTCTTTTCATAGGAACACACCTGCTGGTGCAGGATATGGCCTCAAGAAGATTGGCATAATCACTATTAAAAAGACAACTGGCTTCCACAAACAAAAGCTCCTAACAAGCACAAGGATCATACAATCATATGGTTGGTGTTGGAAGGGACCTTAAAGACCATCTAGTTCCAACCCCTCTGCCATGGGCAGGAATACCTTCCACACAACCAGGGTGCTCAGATCCCCATCCAGCCTGGCTTGAAACACTTCCAGGGATGGAAGTGTTTCCCACCTTCTCTGGGCAACCTGTTCCAGTGCCTCACCAACCTCACAGTGAGGAAGGATGCAGCGTCAGGATTTAACTCCACTTTTGGCACAAGAGTCTCAAGTCAGCTGAATCAAGGAGCCAATACAACAAGGCCTGTCTGCTCAGCAGGCACACTCCGAGTCTGGTAGACACTGGTAGGTTGGGCTGACAAACCCCAAACGTGGCTATCTGTGGTGCTTCCAAAAACTAGGCCCAACACCTGAACATTAAACAAGAAAACATAAAACTAAGAAAAAGAAGATCATTGCAAATAGTTTGTACACTGAGTGATGAATAATGATTTAGCAGACAGACACTGCAAGATTCCAGCTACTGCCACAAGCGAAATTAAGTGCTACCTCAGCTGTTAATTTCTGCACTTAGATCCATTTCCAAGAAATGCCAAAATTTCTTTGGAAAACGTAAGATCCTAGCGATTTCTACAAAAGTAACTAAAACTGAGTAATTTGAATTCCTAATTTCTAGATGGTAAATGCATCTCCCTTGTTTTACCTATCAGGAAACAGATCAAAGAAGCTTTTCAAGATCAGACAGCAGGTAAATACCTGAAGTTAAATCAAGTGCTCACTAAAACTAGGGTTCAAGTCTTTTAGTTTTTTGTTATCTCATACACTGAACTATTCAACATGGGAAATATCACTAAACTTCCCTCTGCAGAACAGAAAGTGCAACTATTTTTGAAAAATAAATATAAAGCACTGAAACAGCATATTTGTTTTTAATCAGCTGTCAAGTACATTGTGATTGTGCTTACCTACAGAAAGTCAGAGAGAAGTGTAAAATGTGTGAGTGTGGGGGAACAAGGACATTGCACTACCTTAAATTCTGATTTGATTGCAGCATAGCAATAATTAATTTAGGGAAGACAGGTGTATACAAATACACACATGATCTCATTTGCTGACACTAAGTATTGAACAGTCATTTTCAAGCTGATAAACAAGTTTGCTCCTTCACCTTTGATTGGATTCTCCACTATCACATTTAATTTTATGACAATGCTGTTAAAAACACCCCCTGAACAAACTTGTAACTCCCCCTAAGTGGAGTTTTGTCCTTAAAAAAGAAAAGCCTTAGGGGCTATTCCCCACTGCTGGACAAAGCCCAGTTTTCACCTGAAGACTGGCACACATGGCTCTGGATGATTCAGTGATTAATTTGCCTTCCTAGAAATTCTGTTGTTTCCTTAAACAAGGATGGAAACACAACCTCCTAAGTGGAGGGGCAGCACTGACGTCTTCTCCCTGGCAACCAGTGACAGGACCCGAGGGAATGGTCTGAAGCTGTGTCAGGGGAGGTTTAGGTGAATATTGGAAGATGGTTCTTCCCCCATAAGGTGTCTGGGCACTGGAACAGCTCCCCAGGGCAGTGGACACAGCACCAACCCTGTCAGAGCTCCAGAGATGTTTGGACAATGCTCTCAGGGACACGGTGTGACCCTCAGGGCTGTCCTGTGCAGGGCCAGGAGCTGGACTGGACGATCCTCAAGGCTCCTTCCAGCCCCGACGACTCTGTGTGTACCCACCCCACGCCCCGAGCGTCGCCTCGCACCTT